AGATATGAAAGCCAGCTGGGTGACTTGGGGCCAATCACCAGGAGATGCTGAGTTCTAGTCCTGCCCTTTAGACATGAAAGCCAACTGGGTGTCTTTGGGCCAATCACTAGGAGACGGGGAGTTCTACCATGTTTCTCCAACAATACGGCCTCCACTAATAGGAAGGCCCAGCATGATTTCTAGGCATGAGGTGAAATTAAGTCCCATCCCAAAAATTTAGGCCTATTTAAACCATGCATTTCCTGGCCATTTCTCACATCATTTGTTGGAACTATACAAGGTGAAGAGACATGGGGGGGAAGGGCAGCGGGTGGGGAGAAAACTTGCCTTTAGGAGTGCCCTGCAGGTAGCCTAGGCTAGAATACCCCGATAGCCGATAGAAGCTCCCTGAAGGCTGAGTCACCAGCCACTTCGGGGCGAGGAGTGGCTGCCCGTGTCCCCTCCCCTTTAGGCGGTCTCTTTCGGGCGATGGAAGCTCCCCAAGTGTAGTCACCAGCCACTTCGATCGGCCAGTAGAAGCGGCCTCACGGCAAGGGGAGTGTGTGTGTGCGCTTGACCCGAGGCCGCTTCTACCAGCCGATCAAAGTGGCTGGTGACTACACTTGGGGAGCTTCCATCGCCCGAAAGAGACTGCCTAATGGCAAGGGGACACGGGCAGCCACGCCTCGCCCCGAAGCGGCTGGGGACTCTGCCTTCGGGGAGCTTTCGTCAGCCGATAAAAACGGCCTCGTGGAGAGGTATGTGCATATAGGCCGCTCTAGGTGGGGGAGGAAATTAAGTCACCCCCGAAAAGACAGCCTAGCCGTTTTTTCGGGGTCCCCCCCCCCCAAAAGGCCCGGCCTTATTTTGTGAGAAATACGGTAGTCCTGCCTTAGGCCTAAAAACTGATCGGGTGACTTTGAGCCAATCACCAGGAGACGGTGAGTTTTAGTCCTGTCTTACGCACGAAAGACAACTGGGTGACTTTGATCCAATCACCAGGAGATGGGGAATTCTAGTCCCATCTTGGGAATGAAAGGTGGCTGGGTGACGTCTCTCTCAGTCCAGCCCACATCACAGGGTTGTTGTTGTGGGGGAAAATAGGAGGAGGAAGGTATATTAGGTACGTCCCTAACCTTGAATTATTTGTAAAAAAAAAAAAAATTAAAGGCAGGATACAAATGAAACAAAAAAATTTGAAAAAAGAGCTTGCTAAAAATTGGTGCTAGCACCTCACCTCCTTTACGAAGTTCTCCTTACTTTGATTTTCACTGAGTTTCCACGCCCCCATTCTTATACACCTCCCAGCCGCCTGCAATCCCACTCCTCTATCAGGGTGGAATCCGACCGGTGTAACTATCGGTTTGGTGGTTATGTGTCATGCGCGCATGTGCACGAAGTGCAATTAATTAATTAATTAAGTGTAACTGCACGCATGCAATTAACAAACTGCTGAGTTACACGGACGGATGTGTAGCATTTGAAAAAGCCCCGTTTTCCTGCTTTTTTCAAAAGCAGCTGAGGTTGAAAAAGCAGGAAATAAAGATCAGGTAAGAGCCCGGGCGGGCGGGTGGGCCAAAACAGCAGCAGACATGGAACCGGTTCTATGTCTGCTGCTCTTCGGAGCTACTGGTTCTATAGAGCCAGGCAGAACCAGTAGAATCCTACCCCTGCCCACTATTCATGGACCTCCATAAGATCTAGTAACATACGAAGTTCAACTTACGTGGTAAAACCAAGGATCAGAATGTTTTTCCAGATGTTCCTGCAGGACAGGAGGCTGCGGAGTGAGATCTGGGCAGCTGCAGGCAGATGACAAGCGTTGTCCAGCTCTGCAGGGTTGGTGGGAGAGACCGGATCAGATTGTGGAGGGAGGGAGGAAGGAAGGAAGGGAGGGAGGGAGGGCAAAGAGTGGAGATGTTATCACACCATACTTGACACAACCTTGTGTCAGGATGCACAATGACAGAGAGGACCTATACAGCAGGGTTTCTCAATTTCAGCAGTTTAAAGATGTGTGGACTTCAATTCCCAGAATTCCCCAGCCATTTGGCTGGGGAATTCTGGGAGTTGAAGTCCACCCATCTTAAAAGGGGCCACAGCTGGAAAACACTGTCCTGAAGGCCCCAAAACCCGCTATGGGAATTCTGGGAGTTGAAGTCCACACGTCTTATCTTGACTCACAAACGAGCAATTACAAAGTGTTCCCTTATCCCGAGTGTGCTAAAAGGATCCCAGTTTAAAACTCAACACGCTGTGCTGTGGCAATGCTGTACTGCCAAGTGAACCAACTGGAATGACGGGGTTTTTTTGGGGCAAGCTGCAATACTCACCATTCAGGGCCTCCCGGGCCTCGAGTTCCTGGGCGTTGCCATTTTGGCACAGGGCTAACAGGACATCCTTGGCCTGAGCTGTTCGACGGGTGGCCAAGAGCCAACGGGGAGATTCAGGGTACAACCCTGGGCAGCTAGGAAGAAATGGAAGGAGAATTTAAAAAAGAGGAAAAATTAAAGAGATGGGGAGGGAGGAAAGGGGGGAAAGAAGGAAGGAAGGAAGGAAGGAAGGAAGGAAGGAAGGAAGGAAGGAAGGAAGGAAGGAAGGAAGGAAGGAAGGAAGGAAGGA